AAATGTCGATTTTGGACCAAATTTATGGGCAAGTAGGTGTTCGGTTGTTCACAGACTCCCATTATTTTTGGGGAAAAAAATTGGCAGTTTGCCTTGATCGAAACCCTGAAAAATGCTTTTTTCCGGTACTTCCCGTACAAAAGTGTCATTTTTCAAGGTTTTTCAGGTCCTCAGTCGGAGGCTTATGGTACGAAATTGGTAAATCAAAATGGGCTCAAAATCAATCCGAAGCTTTGTCTCGATATGCCAAAACTTTTGGCTATTACAGATCTCAATTATCTTGTCAACTTTTTGAGATAATCGGCGAACAAGTTTTCATAGAACGCGGACGACGCCATACGCACATCGCAATTCTGCACATTTTTCATAGTAAATAACATGTTTTTGGAGGCAGATAGGTCTTGATCGATAGGATTTGTTCCCATCTACATTGTCTAGTGTACAGATATGTGCTTTTTGAAGTTTGGCGTGACGTTATAGTGGTCCGAAAGAGGAGATGTCATGAAATTTTGGCTAGTAAAACCAATACTTTTCCATACAAACAAAGTTTGCGGAAAAGTGAAAAAATATATTGATCCGAATTTATGATTGTTGAAAAGCGTTTCAGGGGCTTTTTGCGCATTTGTTTTATATGAAGAAAGTGAAAGTCTGTTAGATAAGATAACCATATTAATCGATAATAAACTTATCGCTTTAACAATTGATTTCGTCTACGCGTTTATTGTTTATTTCAAGTACTCCAAAAAATTCTTTTGTCTATGAATGCAATTCTAAGTCGACGGTTACCAGTGAAAATGGTTTTCGAACCTGGTAAGGCAGCTCTGACTTCAAACCATTCAATTGCATCAGGTTGTCGAGTGTTAGCAGCTCCTTTAGCTGCTAATGGAATTGAACATCGATCTTCCTATGATGTAAGTTTTTATTCATAATATGTAGTATGTCTCAAGCTGATGTTTTGTATTCATTATAGGAAGCAATTCTTGCTTTAAATCAGTTACAAACAAACTCAGTGACACTGAAAGAATCAATTGGTCGAACGCATAGCACGCAAAGCACTCATGTTAAGGAAACACAACGGTATTTGGAAAAAATTGGTGTGACACTTGAAGGCTTAGATGAACTTTCGGTGATTCACGTCGCGGGAACTAAAGTAATATGAAAAAATATATATACAAAAAAACTGTTTTGTAATTACATTGATTGTGATTCCATTTCTATTTCCACCCTCTTGTTGAGCTCTCGGTTGTTTTTATCACTTTTTTTTCAACGACATAACCTTATTTTCTATGTACATTGGCATTTTTTTGGGAACTAAGGGAAAGGTAAAAATAACACGCACAAAACAAAAGAACTACTTATGCAAGGGTTAGAGCAAAAGTGATAAAACTCAGCATTGAGCGGACGTTTCTTAGAACTCAGTTAGTTGTTCTTTTGTTTTGTGCGTGTCAAATTGTATTTGTAAGTGACATTTTAAGCAATGAAAATACCTTAAATATAACAGGGATCAACATGTGCCCTCGTCGAGTCAATCCTTCGAAGCCTGGGCGTTAGAACGGGTTTCTACAGCTCACCACACTTGATAAATGTTACAGAACGCATACGTTTGGAAGGCGAGCCCATATCGAAGACGCTATTTTCGCAATACTTTTGGATAATTTACAGTACACTGAAGGAAACAAAAGTTAGTTGAAAACTATCATTCCATTTCGAAGACTTTAGTTACAGTTCTCGTAATTCAAATCATAAGAAGAATATTCCATTTGAAATTAATTTTAGGAAAATGATCACGATATGCCGCCCTATTTCAAGTTTCTCACAATTATGGCCTACTATATATTTCTAAAAGAAAAAGTTGATGTAGCTATAGTCGAAGTTGGTATTGGGGGCGAGTTTGATTGTACAAACGTTCTGCGGTATGTAAGAAACGTTGTTGGGTAGAACGTGGTTTTCTAAAAATTTGTTCACTTCAGTTGTGTATTCAAGTATAAACGAACGAATGTTTTAATAAACTCTTTCAGAAACACAAAAACCGTCGGCATCACATCGCTTGGACTTGAGCACACCCAACTGCTCGGTACTTCCTATAGAGAGATTGCTTGGCAAAAAAGCGGCATCATTAAATATGGTTCAAGTGTCTTTTCAACCTATCAAAATGATGAGTGTATTCCAACATTGCTAGAGCGGGCCCGTGAAAAAAATGTAAGCCACGTGCCATCATGTCTTTTATTGATAGTAAAAATAAATGCTTACTTTGCTTGTTACTTAAAAAATTATTCTGTGCTAGGCCAATTTGAAGTTCATACCCGACTTCACGGCATATAAAAATAAATGCCACAATGAAAAAGTGTTCGCTGAAATTGCTTCCCATCCAACAAAATTAAGGTATGATGCATCATTCAAGAAGTAATCACAACTCATTCATACATTCTCTACTTCGGTATGACGAAGTCTCTCACCAAGCTTATTTTCGAAAACCTTAGAAACAATATTTTTTCCCACTTTTTGTTAGGAATGCGTCTTTAGCAATTGAACTTAGCTATGACTGGATCCGGAAAAATCCTCAGAAAGTAAAACGAAAATCAATTTACAATAAATTAAATAGCTCTGTGGATGGATTGCATTTGCCAATTGAAATCACCAACGCGTTAGCAAATTGCTATTGGCCTGGTAGATGTCAAACATTACACCAACGCAATATGACACTGTACATTGACGGAGCACACACGATTGACAGTCTACACCTATGTATTGATTGGTTTATCAACAAAACGCAATTGAGGTATGATGTTTTTATGGAAAGTGTTTCATTCCGTAAATATCAATGTTTTTTTTAAATATTCAAATGTATTTAGCACTGAGAAGAAATTCCTGTTATTTAACATAACTGGAGGTCGAAACGCAAACGACATGTTGGATGTTATTAACGCTAAAACGAAATTTTACCGAGCTATCTTCACCCCCAATGTCTCAACACTATGCTCTCGAGCTGCCAGAGGTACATTTGATTTAGTCACTCAACGTTATTATCTCACATCATATACGTCAAAACGAATAACCTACGAAAACGAAAACTAACAAGAAATAAAGGGTCATACCAATGTAAGACGAACTTTTTCGCACTGAAGTCCGAATATTCCATTATTATGGAATCAATGTTTGAATAGAAAAAATTCATATAAGGAGCCCATTTCAAGTACCTCCCATACCAAATTGCGATTTTTCAAGAAATTCCGAACTAAAATGCCAATTTGATACCAAAGTGGTGGTGAAGTTAGTGTTTGGTTGTTCTCAGGCCCCCGTTATTTTGATGAGATAAGTCGACCCCAACCTATTTCAGGTACCTCCCTTAAAAAATATCAATTTTTTGAGGTTGATTTACCAGGTACCCGTGGCACTTCAGGGGTACATCTAGGGTGGCTGAAAATCTAATGGTTCCTGAATTGAAGGGAGCCCGATCTTTCAGCGCTTCCAGATTATCTCTGATTGGGTTCAAGCAATCGCGTAACAA